GAGCATGGGGCCTTTCATTCTCTTGGGCAGCTGGGGAGTCTGATAAGGGATTAAAGACTCACAGACGGGCTCTGGGGGCCGGAGGGACTTGCTACTTCCTATACAGAAAGAGAGACCACTGCTGGGGAGTGTACTTATATCAGCAATGGGGTCTGGAACACAACACCCCCAGGACACCTTTCTGTATGACCTTGACCTTTCTATATGACCTTGACCTTCCCTCAGTTGGGTGGCTTACACGCCTTGAAGAAATGAGTTTTCTGCTCAATGCAAATTCCTGTCTCTAACACACCTTCTTATTTGTAGACTCTGATGAAGGAAAAGATATTTGGCCAACCTTACTATGGAGTTATTGTCTTGCTTTTAACCCTCTCCCTGAAACCAGCCCTGTGCAGGTGAGTTTTTACTGTCAGCTTGACACAATGGGGAGTCATCTGGGAAGAGTCTTAATGAGAAAATCTTTAGATCTAGATCATGTTGGTCTGTAGTGATTGTCTTGATTGCTAATAGATTTGGGAAGACCCACCTGCCACTTCAAGGGCTGTGCCTTGAACTATATAAAACTGAAACAAGGAGAGTTGTCCAATGTGGTGGTTGGAATATGCTTGGCCCAGGGAGTGGCACTATTAGGAGGTGTGGCCTTGTTGGAGGAAATGTGTTACTGTGGGGGTGGGCAATGAGACCTTCCTCCTAACCATGTGAGAGCCAGTCTTGTCCTAGAGGCCTTCAGTTTGAAGAAGTAGAACTCTCAGTTCCTCCGTCACCATACCTGTCTGAATGCTGCCATACTTTTGCCTTGATGATAATGGACTGAACTTCTGAACCTGTGATCCAGCCCCAATTAAATCTCCTTATAAGAGTTGCCTTAGTCATGGTGTCTGTTCACAGCAGTAAAAACCCTAAGATACCCAAGCATAGGTATCAAACAAGAAAGGGAGGACAGAAGGAAACAAGGAAGCAAGCAAGCAAGGGTGTGTTTCTTAGTCTCTGCTTTTGACTATGTGTATGATATGATATTCTGTTTCAATTCTGTCTTGACTCCCCAAATGACAGGCTGTGACATGGACCTGTAGGCCTGATGAACCCCTTTTTTTCCCCTGAGTTGTTTATTGTCAGCAAGGAAAGTGAAAACAGGATAAACTCCCGAGCCAGGCAACCTTGGGTTTAAATTATTTCCTTTTTGGGGGGTGAGGAGGGAACAAACAGCATAGATCCCTACTGTTGGTAAATTCTTAAAACCATGTAATTATTTCATGACTTATCAAATTTTACATTTTTTTCAGAGTGAATGTTGAGTCCTTTAGGTTTCCTTGTGGAACTTGTCAATCTGTGCATACACTTGGGCCATCATGTGGTTGCTGGGAATTGAACTTAGGACCTCTGGAAGAGCACTCTGTGCTCTTAACCACTGAGCCATTGTCTCTCTACACTTGGAAGAGAATGCCTCCTCCCCAAACCTTGATGGACACAATCCTTGACACTCATCATTAAGTTACTCTGACACAAACCACATTGGCCAAGTTTTCTAGGGGAAGTCATTCTTTGTAAGATTTATCTTGAGGTCTAAACTTATAATAAGTACTTTAAAAAAACAAAGTCTGAAGGGGAAGGTTAGAGATCACAGGGGATGAAGACTTCCTTTTTCCACAGTGGCAAACTTGGCTGCTTATGTGATACCCATTTCTCTGCAGTTCTTTGTTTATTCCCTTTTGTTTTTAAAGCCAGATTTTCTTTAGGTCTATACATTCTTTCTTCAGTCATCAAACTCTTCCTATTCACTCTTGCACATGAACAAATGTCTAGTCACCCCCCTAGGGTATCAACAATAGACCAACGTAATGAATCCACTTGGAGTTCAAAGCATCAAGCCAGTGAGTTTACTGGGGTTACTCACAGGAGCAGGGCTGAGAGGTTTCTTACAGGGACAGCCTATCTATCACCACTGCAGAGTTCTACCCCATTGTATACAAGGAGTGCATAGACTTTACTTCATGGAGTTTCACATTCAGTTAACTCCTGTTTCCTGTAGGCTGTAGCATTGCTGCTGATTTGCAGTAGCTAAAGCTCTGCTCCCCTCACAGGTTTTGACAGGAACCCAACTGAGACACATTGTCTATAGATTCTGAGCTAGACAGCTTGTGAGGCCACACCCACCCGGGAAGTGAGTTAACTTCAAAGCGATATTGGTGCTATGGACACCCACTCCTCCCACTCCCCACCCCTTCCCTGCCTCCTACAGGGCATCAGAGAGCCTGGCTGCAGCTCCTTGCTGTGGATCTCCCACATTCTAAGACCTCAGAAGAAGAAGCTCCCTCCTCTGCCCCCGTGGACTCCACATCTTTTTCACAAACCCCACCATGCTGTCTGAATCACTCTCCTCAAAGCCTCTGCCATACTTTGGGCTCTCTCTCTGTCTGTCTATGGCCTTTATTGCTGTTCTAATAAAGTCTCCCAGTAATCTGTGCCATGAACCACCAACTCCCCACAGCAAAACCTAACAGGGAGCTGGCTGGCAGGAGGGAGAAAGAGCTAGACTCTCAGGTGAGGATCCTGCAAGTGTCTCCACATCTTTTCATCTTCTGTTACAAAGTGTGAACAGCTCCATCCCCACTGTCATATTCGAACCATTCATTGTATCATTTTACTTATTTTATTGCCATGGTTACTGGGCCAGGGTTATCTCTACTCCAAAATGGCCACGGGGTGATCATGTCCTGCCTAAAATAAAAAGACAGATGACACTTATGTACAGAAATAAGGTTGGGGAAAAAAATCACTGCCATGGAAGGGTGTGTGTTAGCTGAGAGAGAGGGAAGGGGAGGAGAGAGGGAGAAGGAGAGTTGTATTGTTAAGAAGAGTTGTAGTTTTTTATTCTTTGGTGAAAACATAGTAACAATAGCCCTTTGTCTTGAGCTGATTTTTTTTTTAAACTTTTATAATGTCTGTGCCACCTAGGCTGGACTTCTTGGTGATGTGATCTTCAGTTCTATAGTCACAAGTCTGCATGTCACATGCCTCATTGGGCCTTTATCAACAACAGAAATTGAAACAACCAGTGAGCATCCCAGCAAAGCAGTGACAGAGACAACAGTCAGCTCCCCAGTGATGTCGTAAAGAAGTACAACTAAGACACCTGGTAACAGGATATTAAAGGCAACTTTAAAAAGGTACCGGAATCCTACTTAATTTTAATTACGAATCGCTTTTTCTTCAAAATTACAAACATAATCTTAATAGGAATTATACATCAAATACAGAAGTATTTCTTCTTCAACCCTAGACTAACTTATCTTTTCACCTCAGGCTCCAACGGGGTTCAGTCTCCCTCTTCTCCTTAGAAGTAACTGCCACTTGGAATACACCATCTCTCCTCCAGCTTCTTTGTCTTATAGATCAAGGAATTTAAAAGAGATTTAGCAACTGACTTGACAAATTGGAGTTTGAGACGGGAAAAAAATGCAGGAAGCTGTAGATACTTGGCAGCTGCCAAGGAGAGAGGCAGGATCAGAAGAAGAGAAAAGAGTGACGCCTTGTGAGCCAGGGGTCAAGCAAGCAAAACAGGATGAGCGGAGGCAGTCTGTCAGCAGCTGCATGGAGTTCGGAGCAGGGTGGCAGAATGCGATGCCAAGAGTATCAAGGCAAGCAGCCTTAGGATGTTGGCTAGTGCCCAAAACAGAGATGGAGAGCGGAAAAGAATTCAGACAGCAGTGGGCTCAGGATGAACATCTGTAAATAACCACATTGGGAGAGGAACTCCTGGGATAAGCGGATGCCTCCGAGAGAGGAGGTAGCTCCTCCCCCTCCCATCCCTGCCCCCATCCCCCCCAACTCCTGCTGCTTCTCATCTCATCTTTGGGTGTGTCATATTTATTCCTACCTTCTGGTGTCAGTTGGGATTTTCTCCTTATCAAAGGTGGGGTTGCCTTTGCCGGGGCAAGAGCTTCATCAAAGAACATTACCAAGTGCTGACCAAGACGTTTGTAAAAAGGTATTCAAGTTCTAAAGGAGGGGCAATTGTAATACTTTCCCTTTACCTGACACAGATTTTCACTTACAAAATTGTGGGTGACCAGAGACAGGAGAGTTGGGCTCTGAAGCGGGCTGTGAGCGCGGGATTCATTCTTTCACCACTCTTATTACTTTGTATCTAAGTTGCAAATATATCTTAATGTCTGTGCAGTTTTCTTTGACCAGATGAAGTTCTACTGTAGTTTATGGTTTCATAGTGATTTTTTTTCTGGTTAATTTGAGTGTCTTTAGGTTGTATTTTTTTCCAAGTCTGCACACGCAGCACAGGTTTGTGTGCATGTGGGAGAAAGAATAGATAGAGAGTACACATTTGTGTGTACATGGGACTGGTTCAGTGATGTAGACTTTGACAGTAGGACTCTGCACCCAGACTCTGCCCAACTGAGTTTTGACTGATGCAACCCGTTGTCGTCATGCCACTGTTAACTGGGATTGTGTTCCAGACTCTCTTCGGCTCCCTGGTTCCTGCAGTCTCTAGAGAAAGAATTCAGAGGTGACTGTAAAGAGTGTCATACGTAACAGAAGACTGACAGAGCTTACTATACTACAAGCTCCTGTACTATGAGAGTGGACTGTCACCAAAGGGACCGTGACCAAGATACAAACCCTCAAGGGGTGAAGTATGGACAATGGCCAGAAAGACCAGTATGCTAGCCCTACGCGTTTTGGTGGGCTTTATACTGTTTCTAAAGTCACTAGAACAGACAGCTTTCCTGAGGGGTGTTTTCTTGTTCAGGTGATTGACAGGTCTATTTAGATTAACTCCTAAGGGAGAGGACAATAGTAAGTCTTTGTTCCTTACCTGAAAGCCTGGCCTCGATAGTAATCTTCTGACCTTCTGTCAGTTCACAATGTCATCTCTTTATCCAGGCCCACAGACGTGACTTAGATATCATTCTTTTGGGCAGTGATCATGTAAGAGAACAGATTAAAAAGGAACTTAAGAAAAAAAGAACAAAAATGAATTTATAATACTTACCTGGCAGGGGAGATATGCTCATGAAAAGGGTGGTTTTTCCAGCAGGAAACCTTGTCCGCTGCACTCTGTTATGCTGGCTCTTTGCAACTTCCCCAAATGTGGGAGAGTCAACTACATCACTTGTGGGAGTGGTGGATGGCGTTTCTGCTCTTCCCTAAAGCATGCATTTATAAAAAACGGTCATGGTTTGCCAGGAGGAAGTGGCCATTCCCTGATGGGTCTCAGCAGAGCTCAGCTATCCTGCCTTCCTCCCTTCTGTCTAATCTGTAGCTATTCTTTTATGGAGTGTTTTAAATATTAAGAAGGGGGCACCGTGGTGCCCCCTTCCTTTATCCTTTTTATAGGTCTTCACTTGTAAAATTAGTTTATTAAGAGTGACACAGGAGGTGAGTCCAGAATTGATTATCAAGAAAAGATAGGGCATGCCTCTGCCCTACAGTATTTCTGATCCTAAGAATATGATGGGGGAAAAAAATCTCTGCCTAGTTTAGCTTTCTCCCACCCATACCTCTTCAAGACCCTGAGAAAATTCTCTTTTAGAAAATGGAGGGTCTGTCTGTCTGTTTGTCTTCTCTCTCTCTCTCTCTCTCTTTCCCTTCCTTCCTTCCTTCCTTTCCTTCCTTTCCTTCCTTTTCCTCTTCTTCCTCTTTCTCCTCCTCTTCTTCCTCCTTTTGAGATGGAGAGTTTCATTTCATTTTCCTGAATTCCAACTTGAATAACACCATGTTCTAGCCCCTGGTTTGTTTTGGTAGTGGTCAGGGGTGGTAGGCTAGGACTTGGTGGCAGTCAATGCCCTGCCATCACAGTTCTTGGCTTTACACAATGCTAGCTATGAAGGAGAGGTCCAGCCACTATGAATTCAAGTCAGCTCATGTCAAACCAGTGACCTCATCATTTAAGACACAGGAGACATAGACACTGTATATTTTCCAGAAAACAGAAAAAGCGAACTAGTAAGTGGTTTTTGGAAAGGCATCAGATTTTCTATGCGCGTGCCCTTTGACATAGCAATCCTATTTCCAGAAACTGAGCCTACAGAAATAATTACACAGATGGACAAAGATAGATCATAAGGAAGGCAGATACAGCATTACTTACAATCTTGAGGAATTGGAGACCACTAAATGTCTGGCAAAAGGCAATTGGTTAAATGAATTATGAGAGAGAAGGCACTATGTACTTGAGAAGAGGTATTTAATATGTCAAATGACTACCACGCTCAGGGAATATATGTTCAAAGATCATAAACCCTAAAATCCAATGCTCTTAGTTTCAACCACCTCCAAGAAGCCCTGTAAACACTTGTCCCACAGCAGAGGACTAGAGTCTAACAAATGATCCTATAAAACACAGGATTTAAAATTTAGAATCCTAGACATTTAATTGCAGTTTTTACTTTTTTTGTGCATGTATGAATATATATATATATATATATATATATATATATATATATATATATAATTTATATGTGTTATGTGAGTTTTATATGTGTGTGTGTATGTGTGCCACATAGCCTGAGGTTGATATTAAATATCTTTCTTGACCACTCTCTACTTATTTATTGAAGTAAGGTCTATAGATGAACCCGGTTCTCAGCAATTCTGGCTAGCCTTGGTAGCCAGCTAGACTTTTCTTTCTCTCCCTCCCAAGTACTGGATACTTCTCTGCCATGTCTGTGTGGAATTTACAGGGTTTCTGGGAATTTGAACTCTAGTATTTATACTTATGTGGCAAGTGCTTTATCTACTGGGCCATCTTCCCAGCCCTGTTGTCCTTTTTCTAAGGATAAAAATAAACTAATATGTTTGACTTCAAGGACTTGAAAAATAATAAAGTAACCCAGGTACCTCAGTGGTATAGCTTGTTGTCAATGTATGAGAGGATTCAACTCAGCATTTATTATAAAGCACGACTTAAAAAAGAGAGAAAAGCCAACATTAGGTAAGAAGAACAATTTATTCAGATGAAAGACAAAAGCTATCAAAGTATGAAGTGGGCACAGACCCAAAATATATCTGATAGAATGCACAAATTTGTAGCAGAAATTTCTGGTTCTGTTTGTGTTTTGTTTTTGTGCTTTAAAGACAGATTCTTTCCGTTAGCCTAGATCTAGGATGGTCTAGATCCTCCTACTCAACCTTTCTGGTACAGGGATGATAGACACCTGCCACCATGCCCACCACAAAGTTCTCCTGCAGGGAAAGTTACATAAGTATATTTCTAAATATCCTTTGCTGTAAAACATATTTATTTTTTTATGTTATGTGTGTGAACATGTTGCCTTCATGTATGTCTGTGTATCATATGCGTGCAGTGCCTGAAGAGGCCAGAAAGGGAGTGATGGATTCCCCAGAATCAGGGTTGTAGAGTTGTGAATTGGATGAGTTGGGTTTTGGGAACCAAATCTTAAGTGCTCTTAATCTATGAGCTATCTCTCCAACCTCTGTCTCCCTGTCCTTATATGCTGATTCAATGTCAAGGTGATACAGAATGAAAGTATGGTCCAGAAGTTGTTCTGGGAAGGAAAACAAAGGGCACTGAAGTTCTGGGAAGGAAAAC